GAACAACCCCCCCCCCGCCCCCCCGAGTCCCCAAACAACCTCCGCCCAGTGGCCTCAGGGAGGATTAAAGATGACGAGGTTTATTTTTTTTTAAGATAAAGTAGTGAAGTGTACATCAGACCAGATCAGTAAATGAACACACACTGCTGTTTTGGTAACACAACACAGGTCGTTCCAGCCGATCCTGGTGGAGTCTGAGGGATTAGACCAGTGCCATAGTTCAAAGACACAAAGTACTGTGGACAGTAAACAGTGATTGGACACAACCTAAACAGCGCCTCTGCACAGGAAACTAGATGTACAGTAGTGGAATGGAATTGGAGTGCAGTGGAAGACACACATTAAAACCTCTTTAATTCCTGCCTGACAACAGGGCTGCACACATCACCGCAGACATCAACAAAGAGAACATCCCGTCCAGTGGGAGAAGAACCTCAGGCGACGTGGGGGAGAACACGAGCAGCAGCGGCGCCAGCGGCAGCAGCGGCGGCAGTGGCAGCGAAGGTGCTGAGTCACAGAGAAGTCACGCTGGTCAAAGGCACAAACACAGGAAATCCAAAGTCTGTCCTTCAGCAGTGCAGCCCTCCAACCAGCAGGATGCTCACAGGGTGAGTAATCAGGCAGCGTTTCTCTCACTGCGTCTGCTGAAGCCTTTCTCTCACAGTCACACACTGCACATACGCCGTGGGCCAGGGCAGTATCACGTCCTACAGAGTCCACACATGCACCTGTAGACCACCCCCTAGCCCCCGCCCTCCTCCTCCACCGTTCCAGTGAAGATAATAGTTTTCGGCAGTAAAGATGACAGGAAGCCACGCAGCTGCCTAATGGCTCCCTCTGTTCCCATTGTATAATGGGTGGTAATATGCAGCATGCCACACTAATTGTTAACTGTTTTTCCCTACGAGCAGTGATGTCAGAACCAACCAGGGTGTGCAATTATCTACATCTTTATTGACTGAAGGAGGCTGACATAGTCTCTCAGCTCTGCTTCCGTTCTTCCTAATGCATCTGCATTTCAAAAGCTGCAGGTTATTTTCACTCAGTTAATACGTAGATCTTAGGGAGATCCTCGTATGGACTTGAGTCCAGTCACGAAGGTATTATTTATATCTGTCGTCCGGATACTTTATTCGAAATGAGGTCTAACTCCCGTTAGGGTAAGTGTATGTTTTGATGTTGCTTATAAGGAGGTTCAACGTTGGGTATTTTAGTGGTTGAAGAGCAGCATAGATAAAAGGACCAAGAATAAAAGAGGAAAACAGATGTCTATTAATCAATGTGGCAAAGGTGAAAATGCTAAGGTGAAGGTCCCCAACCATGAGACTGTACTACTAATTTTCTGAAAATATCTTAAGATATACGTATGTCCCAAACATTTCAATATAGATCCAAGAATTGGTTTAAAATTATGTAACTCTGCTTTTATTGTCTGTATATTTTCAGAAAGAAATTATTTGTTACTTAAAATCATTGATCAAGGATCAGGAGCTAACTAAGAAAATATTTTTTCCTTCTTTATACGGTCCCAAATGCTGTAATTTGATGAAAAACATGCAGTCAAGATAAATTTTTTTCGTCATTGTTCACATTTTGAGGAAAAATGACAATACATTTTTTGACAGAAAAAAATCTCAAAATGATGAGAAACATGCAGAAAAGATACAATTTAGATAAAATGAAAACAAAACTTCATCATGTTTCATCATCTGACCAACATGAATTAGGATTTTGTGTAAAAACTAAAAAAAAAATTCAAAATGCTCTAATTTGATAGAAAACATGCAGATCACGATTAAACATCTGACCAAATTCAGGGTTTTGCTGAAAAATGTTCAAAACCTCTTTTTCTAAAACACATTTCAAAATGCTGTATTTTGATGAGACACATGCAGAAACTTCTCACCATATTTTAACCATAAAACAGGGCATCTGTATTTTATGGCAGAAGACTGAATTTCTCTTAATTTTTTGAGAACATTTATTTTCGGAGATTTGTTTGGGAATTTATTGGTATAGTATTTTACTGTGATCAAAGGTTGGCGTACCAAAAAA